AGAGGCTCAAGGACAGTGCCCAGGCCCTGAGTTCAAGCCCCAGGATTGGCAAAAAAGAGAAAAAAAAGAAAACCACCATGGCCTGGTTCAGGGCTGAATTCTGCTTAGTGAGTTCAGGGTGTCACTTTAAGCTTATCAGTCTCAACAATTCAAAACTACAATGAAGCTAGGTGCTGCTCATGCCTGTAATCCTAGCTACTCAGAAGGCTGAGATCTGAGGATCATGGTTCAAAGCCAGCCCAGGTAGGAAAGTCCATGAGACTCTTTATCTCCAATAAACCACAAGAAAACCAGAAGTAGTGCTGGGGCTCAAGCAGTAGAATGCTCACCTTGCAGGGACAGTGCCCAAGCCCAAGTTCAAGCCCCATGACCAAAAAAAAAAAAAAAAAAAGCAAGCAAACAAAAACAAACCAACAAACTTACAATGGGCTGAGTGTGATGTCACATGCTTGTAATCCCAGATGCTCAGGTGGCAGAAATAGGAGAATTAGGGTTCCAGATCATCCCAGCACCTCCACGCCCCCCCCCCCGCCCGCCCCGCAAAGACTATGTCAACAAACCACCCCACCCAAATATAGTAATAAATGCTGTGGTTTTAGGTACTCAAGAGATAGAGCCTGGAGAATTTTAGTTTTGAGGAAAGCCTGGGCAAAAGTGTGAGACAAAACTAAACAGAAGTGGAGTAGAACACAAGCTTGAAGACTCCAGTATAAAGAAAAAAAATCCCAAAACTGAATGAAAAAATTGTATTGACATGGAAAGAAAGGTACCATGGTTTCTTGTGTCATGTTTATCCATTTCCTATGGGTCAAGAGCTTTTCATTTCTGTTGGAGATCGCTGATCATCTTCGGCAGCCTCTGCAGGGCCTGGTCTTGTGATGCACCTCCTCCCCCGTGGCTGACTCTCAATGATGCTCTGATGTTCTGAGGGCCCTGATGGGTTTTCTGTGACTGATGCTGGAGGCTGGGATGTTGGGAACTCCCTGGTGCTAGAGCTAGATCACCTCCCAGGGCCTGTCTGAATCTCATGCATGAATTCATAAAGGAGCATGTGGTCTCAGAGGGTTAGGTTTGAGTTGTGCAGGGACAAGGTAAGGCTGGCACTGTGTCTCATGGAATGTTAGGGGGTTCTGTTTTGTTTTGGACAATACTGAGGTCTTCCTCCTTTTCCTCCTCCTCCTCCTTCTTTGCTGATTTGGAGATGGAGTCTTCTGGACTTTTCTGCCCAGGCTGGCCTCCAACCATAGTCGTCTAGATCTCAGCCTCCTGAGCAGCTAGGATTGTAGCCATAAGCCACTAGTACCCAGTGAAGGAATTTAGGTTCAGAACTTGTGACTGGTAGATAATGATCAAGTAAATCAAAGTGCCATTTCTGGACAGTTAGTCCTGTGTTCTTTGTAGAAAGAACCCTGTCCTAGGGGGCCAAGAGGCCTAGTTCTACTCTGGCTTTGATATTCATTAGTTCTATGAACTGGGATGTGTGACTGATCTTTCTGGGTTCCCCTTTTTGGTTGTAAATTGGAGTGAAATCTCTCTTACATGTGCCTTTCATATGGAGCATTCTTTTTACTTTCTTTTCTAGTTATTATAAAGGTGATATACTGAGGGGTTACAGTTATATAAGTCAGGTAATGAGAACATTTCTTTTTGAACAATGTCACCCCTTCCCTCACTGGTCTCCCAGTTTTCCCCTACCATCCCTACCCAGAAATTGTATAGTTTGTTTTCAACAGTGTCCATTGAGAACCATTGCTGCATTTGTTCACCCTTTGTCCCTCCAGTTCTCCTTTGCTTAGAGTCCCAAAGACATATAAATGAATAAATGACAAAAAGAAAAAAACTTGATTTCCTGGATTCATTTCGATACATATTATTTTGTATGATCAGATGCACATAGGCATTGGGCCTTTCTGTTCCTCTCCTAAGATTATCTTCCTTTGATCTTACTGTGTGTGAATGCTGTGGAATTTATTATGTTCCCAGTATTTATTCCACATATGAGAGAAAACATGAAGTTTGTCTCTCTGAGCTTGGGCTTCCCGCACTTAACATGGTGTGTTCTAGGTCCATCCAGTTCATCTGGAACATTCTTGATAAATATTTACGAAACAAACCAACGTCTGCTTTTCTCCCTCGGCCGCACCCATTCAAATGCTGGGCTATTTTTATAAGTTCCTGTCATTTTGTTAGGGTCAAACATTCACATCAATGTGAATCTCAGGAACAGGAGAATGGCCTGTTCATTTAAATTTTCGCTTTCTAAATGGCATCAGAACTGTCCTTGTCGTGGCAGACTTTATTTAGCATTTCTCCAGAGAAATCTTCAGTGGCAAAGAAGGAGGCCAGATGCCACGTGAAATGGTGTCAGGCCTCCCCATGACTGTGGAAACGAGCACACAGAGGCCGCTTCTGTGGGATGGGCACTGCCTGGCACTTGTGATGTTGGGCACTTTCCAAATAGCATCGCCTGACCAACTGTCAGGGCTTCTGAGTGTACGGATGAAGCCCAGGGCGAGCTGTGCAGCCTAGTAAGCTGAGTAGTTGGGTGAACAGCAGAGAGATCCATTGAGGGAGGGTGGGTGCGTGCATCTGAACTAGTGACCTGGTACCCACAGGAACTCCACTTGCATTCCATTTATCTATAGAAACTTCTGGAATTCTTCACCTTTTCTGAGCCTAGAAGGCCCTCTGTTTTTACAGGTTTTAAGGATGAGTCTAAATCCTTAATCCTGCACAGGGTCCCTGCCTGTTTTCTCCTTTACTCCCGCCCTCTCTCCCTTCTTTCCTTCCTGACTTTTTGCCAGTACTAGGACTTGAACTCAGGACCTTGTGACCTTGACCTTGTTCTCTCACCTTTTTTTTGTTTCTGCTGCTTACGGCTGGTGCTCGACCACTTGAGCCACTTCCAGCTTCTCACTGGCTAATTGGAGATGAGTCTTGGACTTTACTGCCCCCCGCTGGCTTTGAACCACAATAACCAGATCTGGGCATCCTGAGTAGCTGGGATTACAGGTGTGAGCCACCAGTGCCTGGCTTTTACTTTTCGCTCATCTATTCCCTTGCTCTCAGAGCTTGGATCCTAGAACTTTTGTTCTAGTCTCCTCTAGAACACAGCTCATGACCCTCTTTTTAATGTCAATTATGGCCTGTCACTATACTATTTAGCACTTGAACAAATTGCCAGCCTCAAATACGCCTAAAATCTAAGGCCTGGAGCGTCTGCCTGGCAGGCAGTTCTAGCTATGCAATGCCAGTTACACGAGAGAGCATGTGCGTGATGCCAGCACTTAGAAGCTGGCCATTTTCTCTAAGGAATGTAACCAGGCAGAAAGGAGCCCAAACAGGCAAACCACTGTTCAAAGAAAGATAAATGTCTCATTGGGAGTGAATTCATTTGGCTTCAAAACTGGTAGAGTAGGCTGGGTGCTGGTGGCTTACGCCCAGCGCAAAATCTGAGGATCAGGGTTCAAAATCGGCCTGGCTGGGGTGGGGGGGAGGGAGGATGGGATAGGAAGGGGAAACAAAGGAGGAGGCTACAATGCTTGATAAGAAATGTACTCACTATCTTGCCCATGTAATTGTAACCCCTCTGTACAGTATTTTCACAATAAAAAAAATAAAAATTAAAAAAAATCGGCCTGGGTAGAAGAAAAGTCCATGAGATTCTTATTTCCCATTAACCACAAAAAGAAAAAAAAAATGGAGCCATGGTTCTAGTGATAGAGCACTAGCCTTGAGGAAAAAAAAGCTCAGAGACAGTGCCCAGACCCAGAGTTCAAGCCTCTCCTATCCCAAACAACAACAACAAAAACAATAATAATAAACTGGTAGAGGAAGCAAGAGAAATGAGAGGTAATGAAGAGGCAGGGAATATCAATAAGAACCTAAAGGCAGCAGAAAATTGCCATGGATCCTCCTGCCCTGCTCTTTCCTTTCCAGCACCGTCTGTGGAGAGACTTGGTGCTGGGCTGGGGTTCTGGCATTTTCTGCAGCTCAGGGACTAAGTAGAACCAGTCATGGTGGTTGGTTCTGACTTTTCAGACACTGCTCACAGGTAGAAATGGTACACAGTTGGATCTCCATCACTTCCTGTTGTGCTGACACCATTAGTTTGCTAATCTTTTACTTCCCAAAGAGGTTGGGGTTGATTCCTTGTGAGCTAACACTGTCCTAGTCCAGCCAGTACCTTCAGTTCATTCATTGTGGAGCCCAAGAAGGGTGGCATCCTTGCTTTGTGGATCTTTCTACCTCCTTCTTTTCCTCCCTCCTTCCCTCCATTCTTCCCTCTCTCCTTTATCCTCTACCAGTACTAGGATTTGAATTGAGGGCTTCCCATTTGCTTGACTTGCTTGTTGGGCTGGTACTCTACTACTTGAGCCACACCTCCAGCTCAGTATTTGGCCACTTATTTTAGAGATGGACTCTTATGGACTTTCCTGTTTAGACTACCTTTGGACCATAATCCTCTGGATCTCAACCTCCTGAGTAGCTAGGATTATAGTTATGAGCCCCTGATGTCCAGCCTCTGTGGATCTCTTGATGTCATAGGAAAAAGTCAGGGATGAGGGTGTCCCCAGGTTGCTCTGAGCAGGAGGTGCTTCTGAATCTACCCCCTGGGGCTCAGGGCTTCCAATCTCTGTTTTAGTGGCAGAATCTCACCCTGCTCCGATTCCATGGTTCTGAGACTTAGTGCAGAGTCTGGTACAGAGCCTGAGGCCTTCTGGAACCCTGGAAATCATGTCTTCTCCATGTCTACAAGGGCTCAAACCATACCAGGGAGGCCCCGCGTATGGCTTTTACTTCTCCCCATGGTGCGCAGACTAGACCTCAGAGTCCTACTAAACCATGACAGCTGGAATAGAGCAATTCCGACAGGCCTTGCCTTCCAACAATGGCTCCAGGGCCTCTCCCAGCCCCGAGGTCCTGAGATCCTGTGAAATTGTCTTAGTTGGTGGCATTGGAGTCTGGGAGTCTCACCTACTTTCTCTTGACTATGGCAGGAACCAGGGTGAAATGGCCCACACCTGTCGTGGCACCATCAACCTGGCCACCACACAGATCGACACGGAAGACTCCTGTGGAATCTTGCTGGTCAGTGGCGCAAGGAACTATCACCTGAAGGCCAGCTCCGAGGTGGACCGGCAGCAGTGGATCACCACCCTGGAGCTGGCCAAGGCCAAGGCAGTCCACATGATGAAGGCACATTCAGGTAGTGGGCGCTCCGCACGGTGGGTGTACATGACCAGGGTCGTGGGTCTAGAGGGGGTGGGAACAGGAAGCTTGGGAGGGGGGCAATGGGGACCATGCCCACTCAGCCCAGAGGGTCCTTAGCAGTCAAACATCAGCCTGCCATGGCAATCGTGGCTGGCCCTAGCCCTGGGGACGGGATGTTGGCAGTGGCAGGGGCTGTGGGAGCCTTCCTTTGGATGAGGAGTCTGGTCACTGGACTTGGGTACTGCAGGGTCTTATGGCTTACAAGCAGTGGTCTAGGCTAGGAGTTCTGGGTTGGGGCAGGGACCAACTTTGCCCAGATTGCTGTAGGGACTGGTTAGCCAGAGCTGTTGCCTTTGCGATGTGGGAAGTGTAGTGCAGATGTTCTGAGCACAGGGTGCTATTTTAACAAAGGTGTCCCTTATTTTCCTTAGTGTTGGTTTCATGTGGAGACAGGGTCTTGCTATGTAGCCCAGACTGCTCTGGAATTAGAGAGCTCAAACTGGCCTCCAACTTGTGATCCTTCTGCCTCTGTTTCACAAGTGTTGAGATTATAGGCATGCACCACTATGCCCAGCAGCATATTTATTTTTTAACCTATAAATTCTTTTTTTTGGGTCCGGTCATGGAGCCTGAACTCTGGGCCTGTGTGCTGTCCCTCAGCTCTTCAGCTCAAGGCTAGTAGTGCTCTACCACTTGAGCCAAATTTGCCACCTCCGGCTTTTTTTTTCTTTTTGCTTATGTGGTGCTGAGGAATCGAACCCAGGGCCTCATGCATGCAAGGCAAGCGCTCTACCGCTGAGACACCTTCCCAGCCCCTAACCTATAAATTCTTATATGGTTTATAAAACAATGGCTCCAAAAGTCTATGAATAGGGGCTGGGAAGGTGGCTCAGCAGTAGAGTGCATGCCTTGCAAGCATGAGGCCCTGGGTTTGATTCCTCAGCACCACATAAACAGAAAAAGCTGGAAGTGGCGCTGTGGCTACAGTGGTAGAACGCTAGCCTTGAGCTGAAGAGCTGAGGGACAGTGCCCAGACCCAGAGTTCAGGCCCCATGACCGGCAAAAAAAAAAAAAAAAGTCTATGAATAAAGACTAACTTTGAGTCCAGTTTCTAGTGACCCACCTCACTTTCTCACCAAGAGGCAAATAAAGGTACCAATAATATGTTTTATAAATGTGCCCAAATAGGTACTAATTTAATTTCATATTCTTTTGCTAGTACCAGGACTTGAACTCAAGGCCTCATTCTCACTCAGTTTGCTTGCTCACAGCAAGTACCACTTGAACCATGCCTCCAGCTTCTATCTTGCTGTCTTTATGTAGCAATGAATCTTAATCTTTTTCTTATCAGGACATAAAAGATTTCTTACAACAATATAGTTTTTCACTGACTGATGGTTGTGCTCAAATTTATTTAGCCTATAGCCTGGTCTGTTGATGAGTATTTGGGTTATTTTCTTTCTTTTTTAAAACTTTGTGTTTCTATTTGTTATGACACTGTGCCACAGATAACTTTGCAAGCATTTTATTTAAAAAAATTTTCATTTGTGTGTGCATGTGTGTGTGTGTGTGTGTGTGTGTGTGTGTACGTGCATGTACATGTGTACTGGTCCCGAGGCTTGAACTCTAGTTGTGGGTGCTGTCCCTGAGCTCCTTTTGCTCAAGGCCAGTGCTCTACCACTTTGAGCTACAGCGCCACTTTCATTTTTCTGATGGTTAATAGGAGATAAGAGTTTTGTGGACTTTCCTGCCCAGGTAGCTTTGAACCAGAATCCTCAAATCTTGGCCTTCTGAGTAGATAGGATTACAAGCGTGAGCCCACCAGCACCCCGCTTAATTTTAAACATGGAAATGTGACTGGGTATTCCAGGAACCGGGTTGCTGGGTCCTTGTAATTCTGTCTTAAAAAATAATTCTAACTGTAACCTCTCTGCACAGCATCTTTACAAGAAAATAAAATTAAAAAATAATTCTCAACACATGTGGAACATTCTTCAAGATAGACCATATGTCAGGCCACCAAACATGTCTCAACAAACTTAAAGGACTGAAATCCTATGAAATATCTTCTCTGTTCTCAGTGGAATAAAACTAAAATGGGTAGCAGAGCAGAGTGCTGATAGCTCGTATCTGTAATCCTAGCTACAGGAGGCTGAGAGTTGGAGGATCAAAGTTCTAAGCCAGCCTGGGCTGGGAATGTGGCTTAGTGGTAGAGTGCTTGCCTAGCATACATGAAACCCTGGGTTTGATTCCTCAGCACCACATGCACAGCAAAAGCCACACATAGTGCTGTGGCTCAAGTGGTAGCATGCTAGGCTTAAGCAAAAGAAGCTCAGGGACAATACCCAGGCCTTGAGTTCAAGCTCCAGGACTGGGGGGAAAAAATCCCATTGCTGGATGCCAGTGGCTCAATGCCTGTAATCCTAGCTACTCGGGAAGCTGAGATCTGAGGATCAAGGTTCAAAGCCAGCCTGGGGAAGGAAAGCCCGTGAGACTCTTATCCCCAGTTAACCACCAGAAAATGGGAAGTGGTAGAGTGCTTGCCTTGAGCTGAAGAGCTCAGGGACAGCGCCCAGGCCCTGAGTTCAAGCCCCATGACTAGAAAAAAAAAATTCCAGGGAGTAACAAGTTTGACAAGAAATGTACTCACTACTTTACTTACTGTAACCCCTCTGTATATCACCTTGACAATAAAAGTTTTTTTTTTTTTAAAAAAAAAAACAGTTCCTACTGGCTACCTACTGGCTCATGCCTATAATCCTAGTTACTCAGGAGTTTAAGGTCTGAGGATAAAGGTTTGAAGCCAGCCTGGGCAAGTTTGTGAGACTCTTATCTCCAATTAATCACCAAAAAGCTGGAAGTAGAGCTCAAGTGGTTGAATGTGAGCCTTGAGTACAAAAACTTAGGAATAGGGCTGGGAAGGTGGCTCA